GCAAATCTGCTAAAATTGTAAGTTTTTCGAATGGAATGGGACGAAGTTTTTTGGGGTGCCTGGGGGATCTTGATGTTGGCATTTGGAAACATCGTGGGGGTATTTTCGTGGCCCTCGTTGCCCGTTTTGGAGCCTTCATGGGCCGTCCTGGGGCCTTTTTGGGCCGTCTTGGGGAGCTTGGGCCCGCTGGAGCCCCCTTTGGACCCTTCTTGGGCACTTCCGGGGACCTCCCAGGGCCCTTTTGGGTCTGTGCTTGGAGCCCATGGGGGGCCTCTTGGTTTCAATATGGGCTGTCTTGGGGCTCTCGTGGGCGATCGTGGGGCCCGGCTCGACCGTCTTGAAGCTTTCTCGGGGGCCTTTTGGGGCGTCTTGAGGCGATCTCGGGGGCTTTGAAACCGTCTTGAAATATGATGAATTCCGAAAGGGAAATCTGCTAAAATTGTAACTTTTACGAAGGGAATGGGACGATGTTTGTAGTTCGAAGGCCCCTTTGGAAAGCTTTTTGGGGTGCCTCGGGGGTCTTGATGTTGGCATTCGGAAACATCGTGGGGGTGTTTTCGGGGCCCTCGTGGGCCGTTTTGGCGCCTTCATGGGCCATCCTGGGGCCTTCTTGGGCCGTCTGGGGGAGCTTGGGCCCGCTGGAGCCCCCTTTGGACCCTTCTTGGGCACTTCCGGGGACCTCCCATGGCCCTTTTGGGTCTGTGCTGGGAGCCCTTGGGGGGTCTCTTGGTTCCATTATGGGCTGTCTCGGGGCTCTCGTGGGCGATCGTGGGGCCCGGTTCGGCCGTCTTGAAGCTTTCTTGGGGGCCTTTTGGGGCGTCTGGAGGCGATCTCGGGGGCTTTGAAACCGTTTTGAAAGCTGATGAATTCCGAAAGGCGAATATGCTAAAATTGTCAGTTTAACGAAGGGAATGGGACGATTTTTGTGCTTTGAAGGCCCTTTGGAAAGCTTTGTGGGGTGCCTTGGGGGTCTTCTGGGCCGTCCTGACGCAATTGGAGTCCCTCTTGGAGCGCTCTTGTGCTGTCAGGGGCCTCCCTTGAGCCTTTCTGATGACCCCTCGGATCGCTCTCGTTCTGCTGGCAAGGCGTTTGTGGAGACCCCGAAAGTTGGGTGACCTTTTCCAAGGACGTCCAAGGGAGCCCGAGAACCCCAGATCCCGGGGGTCCAGTTTTTTTTTGAGGGGGGATGGGTTCCCCCCCCCCCCCGGGCTTGTAAAAATATAGGAAGAGGAATCTCTCTCTTTCTCTCTCTCTCTCTCTCTCTCTCTCTCTCTCTCTCTTTTTATATATATATATATATATAGATCTTCTGTGTGTGTATATATATATATATATATATATATATATATATTCGCTGGAACATTGTTTTTTTTGCATTCGTTGTGATATCAGCATGCTTGGCCCTGCTTGTTTCTGCACTCGTCAGGGTTCGGCCCTGCTTGTTTTCGCACTTTCGGCCCAGGCTTCCAAGAGACATGTTTATCACTTGGTTGAACCGCGTTCTCCGCGCCTGAGTTTTTGCTCCACTCCGCCTTTGGAGCAACCCGAATCTATAATTCGCTTCCTGATTACGTCGTTTCCGCGACAAACACTTCTCAATTCCAGTCCCGTCTGCAGGCGTAAGTGCGCTCTCGCGCAACTGCGCAGACTGGGCCGCTGCGTTTTCACCCCGACTCCCGCTTTCCCAGCACCCGCTCCGCGGTTGCAGGGATTGGCGTGGTTAGCTTCTCCCTTCTTCCTCTCCCTTCCTTGTTTCTCCTCCCTCCTCCCTGCTCTTGCTCTTCGTCGTTGCTGTCGCGTCCCGCCGTCGTCTGTCGTTCGTCCTGTCCTCTCCCCCCCCTCTTCTCTTCCCCCCTCGGCCGCCCTGTGTGGGGCACAGGGTGCGCGCCAGAAGAAGAAAGCTTGGCAGAACATGCGAAATTTAACATCGAGCGCCACATCGTAAAAACGACGTGGTCATCGCTTTACGCATGTAGCTAGAATTTTCGAAAACAGTTACCAGTAATTTTGCAGTCCCCCGAAAAGTAACGCCCATCAGGAAGGAATACAGAAACAGCAGTGGCGCAAGCGATGCGTGCGAATTTGCGCCGGCACCGCGTGTAGACCAGTGGCCAGTCTATCCAAGACCAAGCCGGTAGGAGAGCCGTTCACGACGGTAGGTGTTTTGTTTGACACGAGTTTACCCATAAAGGAGGACGGTTTCACACGCAGCGAGCTTGTACGGCTATCAAAGGATCAATATTGAATTATATTGAACACCGTCAGGTTCAGCGCACACAGCTCGTGTTGCCCCCTTGGCACCTGTTTGGGGCGTCATCGGGCACCCTTTGGAGCCTCGTTTCCTTGTGGGGGTCATCTAGGAAGAGATCGATCAACGGCAGCGCAGTACTCAATTTACGTTGCCCCCTTCTAGCCTTTCATGTGGCAAGCGTTTTGTTCTGTTCCTTTCTCGCCAGGGCCATCTTAGACGCTCTAGCGGTTCGCGCCCCTCCCCCGTTGTCCAGGTCCAGGGGAAGGGGGTATGGGGGAGGGGTCAAGACGCCTTCCTCGCCGGCAAGCCGTCTCGCTCATTCCCGTCCGCTTTCCCAACGCGTAAGTCCGACCCGAAGCGTTTTCAGCGGTAGTCTTTGGACGGGCAGCTACTGAGAACCCAAACAGACCCCATGTGCGCAAGGCTGGGGCGAGGTGCGCCAGGAGTGCCAGGCGCGCTAGGCGTGCCAGGTGCGCCAGGCATCCCTGTGGCCCAGGCGTGCCAGGCATGTCTGGTGCGCCAGATGCGCCACGTGATCCACGTGTGCCATGTGTGCCGCATCCTCCAGCCGCGCCAGGTGCGCCACGTTCGGGGAACGCGCAAAGTGTGCCAGGTTCGCCTGCGTACGTGACAACGTGTCGGCCACCACCACCCTTGGCGAAAACCAGTGTGCAATCGCGGCGCGGGGGCCATCATAGCATGTGGTGGGTTTGCCCGTAGCAAGCACTCTACCAGCACCCCTGCTTTCCCAGTCAAAAAGCAATGCGCCGTGATCGTGGGGTGCCCGCGCACGATTCAGATTTAGCCGCGATTTGCAGGTTGCATGGCTTTGTCCGCAGGGATGCTGGCCCTGCGCGCAGCAAACAATATGCGGCATCTCCGCCGCCCCTGTCAAAGAAACAGTACTAACTGCCCGCGGCCCCCACGATCATGACGCACGATTTTGCCTCAAAGTGGATTTTACATTGTTTTGACAGATGGTCGGTGGCCTTCATTGGTCCTTGTTGGCTGCCGGTCGCGTGGGGGAGAGGATGTTTCGTAATAGGGAACAGTGATGACCCGTTTTTCCGAAGGGGAAAAAAGGGGTTGGAAGAGGAAGCGTGCTGAACCACTCACGCCCTGAAGGGCTGTTGGGACTCCTCGTCATCGCGTCTCTTGCCTCCGTCTCCTGCCACGGTGCAGCGAGCAAGCCGAAACCCCCTGTATTGCACCCTCCGTGCACGGAGCGTGTGCTACGATTCGTGGGGGGCGGTGTGCGGCTTCAGCTTCTGGTGCCGCAGGTGGAGCCCCTTGTAGGGCACTGTCTGTGTGCTGTCTGTGTGTGATGTCTGTGTGTGATGTCTGTGTGTGATGTCTGTGTGTGATGTCAGTGTCTGTGTGTGATGTCAGTGTGTGTGTGTGTGCCGAAGTGGTCGGGGGGACGCGCAGCAGCTGCAGCAGGAGAGGATGTGCTGGGTGGGAGCACGTGAGGAGGAGGCACGCTTCGCGGTGGGCTCAAAGCGAAGGCCCCACTGCGCAGGAACGCTGGTGGAAAGGGCTTTGCAGGCCTGTGCTTTGGCTTTAACGCACAAGAGCTTCGTGCACTGAGCGTGCTGCGCCGCCCGCGGCGTCCTCTTCCCCTCTCTCGAGATTTTCCCCGCTCATGTTCGTGCCCAGTTCGGCCCCGCAGCTCCCCTCGAGTGTCTCGACCGCGGCCTGGTCCCAGACCGCTGCGACAAAAAAAATGGTGGAGAGGGTGTCGGCATCCAAAACACACGGGTACTTCGTCCGCGCAAAGACCGTGGCACACAAACGCCCCCCCTTTCGGGCATGATGCGCCAAGAACGGCCCACGCAGAAAGCACCTCCAAAACGGACAACGTGGCCCTTCCCACCCGGTGAAGACCGGCCCCGCGGAGGGTAAGGGAGGGTTTCAACATTGGGGAGAACGCCAGGGCTGGCCATGAAACGCCGAACACCGCCTGATCCAGGACCGCTCGAGGTCTCGGGGGCGGAGACCTCCTCCTCTTCCTCCTCCTCCCTCCTCCCTCCCTCCCTCCTCCTCCTCCTCCTCCTCATCATCATTCTCCTCCTCCTCCTCCTCCTCCTCCTCCTCCTCGTCCTCCTCCTCCTCCTCCTCCTCCTCCTCCTCCTCCTCCTGCAAGGCCGCTGCGCTGCTGGACCGCAGGGCCGACGACCACGCCACGGGAACAGCGTGGCACCGCTCCACGTCGCACCCCCGCCTCGTGTGCTGAGAAATCGTGCCGTTTGGCTTCGGTGAGCTCCCTGCCGCCTCTCGACTCCGCGCCGCGCCTCGGAGGGACAGCCAACTCCGGGGCGATTGCCTTCCCGCTGATCCCGCCCGCCCCCCCGCCCCTCCCGTATCTGATTTCGCGCCGTTCCACCCTGTCTACCTCCCCGTCCGAGCCCAAACTCACCCGGCAACCGCCCATTCTGGGCTGCATGGGGGGCCTCAGAGTCAACGCCGTTTGGCGATGGCGAGGGAGGGTACTCGGGGGCCAGAACAGGCGTGAACGGCGTTCGGCCCTCTTGCCACGGGCCTTTTGACCTTGGGTCGGGCGAAAGCGGGTGATTACGTATTCCCCTCTTGTTTGTTTGATGGGGGATCGCTCGTGAGGCTCATCCCTCCAGAAATCCAGAAAGGCTTCACACACACCCACGCGCGCACTCATCTTCCCCCTCCCCCCAGGGCCAATCAGCCCCTACGACAGCCATGATGCTCCCGTGTGGATCCCAACGGTGTGGTCCGTAGCCATTTGGCTCAAGACACGGAGAGTGCCCGTGGGGATTCGAGGAAGTCGCTGACGATGGCGCGCCTAAAGGAGTGGCTGGGCCCGACCACAGTTCGACAGTGCCTGTCGGAGATTCTCGCCGGGGTCGTGGTTTGCTTTGCCCAGATTCCTGAGAGTGTGGCCTTTGCGAACCTTGCGAATTGCCCCCCGGCTATCGGGCTCCAGGCAGCCTGGATCGTGGGCCTCGTTTGCGCTCTCTTCGGTGGTCGCCCGGGTATGATCAACGGGTCCGCCGGGGCTCTCGCAGCGGTCACGAAGAGTTTTGTTTCGAAAGAGGTGGATGGCGCGGGAGTCATTCACTACACAGGCTTGGTGCAGCTATTCTGGAGCGTTGTTTTTGCATCAGCACTCATTCTGTTGGGAGCTGCTTCTAACGTCGGCAAGTTTCTGTGTTTGATTCCAGCGACGGTTGTGATCGGATTCTGCAATGGTTTGGGTTGGGTCATTGGCCATGCGCAGTTGGCATGGTTCCAGGACGAGCAGCACACGTTCTTGCAGGGAGAGGTGATGAGACTCAGTGTCGTGTCGTGCTTGGTAACCTTCGTGATCATGCAAACCCTGGTGTCGCTGCGCCTGAAGGGTGTCCCTGCTGCCCTGATCGCGATTCTGTCCGCGTGCCTTCTAGAATTCTGTCTCTTTCGGCCGGTGCTGGGCACAGAAACTCCAACCGTCCGCGACAAGAGCCCTTTCGACACCCGCCAGACTGTGCCACGGCTTTTCTTCCTGAACGGCGACTACGACCTCGCCGAGTGGGGCTCACTGAGCCAGATCGCCGTACAAGGCGTCACCATCGCCGTGGTGGCGATGTTGGAGTCGCTGTTGTGCCTGGAGGTCATGAACGACCTCACCCGGACGGTGGGCCAGCCGAATCGGCAGCTATGGGCCTTGGGTGCGGGCAACCTGCTGGCGGGCCTCTTGGGGACCATGGGTGGTAACTCCCTCATCGAGCTTTGTGTCATGAACGTGCAGTCGGGCGGGACTCTACGCCTGTCATCTGCAATCTGTTCGGTTGGGCTGTTGCTCATCTTCGTCGTTGGCTTCGAGTTGCTAAACTTCATTCCTGTATCGTCCCTTGCGGGCGTAATGATCGCTGTGGTTATTGGGTTCGTGAGATGGAAGTCTTTACCGGCGGTGATCGCCGCCTTTCTCCCGCGGTCTAGTCTGGAGCCCTCGCCGTCCGGCGGCTCCCGAGGCAGACTGCGCGATTATCTGTGGTCTGTGCGCATCGGACGGTACGACGCCTTAATCATTATTATTGTGACATTCCTGACCGCTGTGTACAATCTGGCGGTTGCAGTTGGTATTGGCGTCAGTCTTTCGTCCGTTCGTTTTGCGTACCAGCAGACGAGGCCAGTAGAGATTCAGGTCACATTGAGCAGCGGCGCCAAAACGTATACACTTTTAGGTCCTATTTTCTTCGGTGCGCGACGTGAGGTCATCGAGGCCTTCACTCCGCGAGCGGATCCCCCGTCCGTGCAGATCGACTTCGGCAGTGCGGAGATCTTCGACTTCTCCATCATGCAGGAGCGGGAAGCGTGCGCCGGTCCCCCAATCCAGAGTTCTTGCCTCCCAGAATTCCCCCCCCCACCCCAAAAGCCAGCCTCACTCCCACCCACTCGCCACGGGCCTGCTCCGCGCCTGGGGCCCGAGCGCGTGGGGAAGGGGGGGGAGAGAGGCGTTGCAGGGCGTGCCTCAGGATGCAGGGCGCTTGGTCGAAACACTGGAGCATGTAATGTGAGCATATGATTAAAAAAATACCCCACCCCCCCCCCCTCCCCCGGGGGGCCCTATCCGTGAAGAGTTGGGCGTACTACTAGAATCTGGGGGCCGAAACTGATTTTTTAATCGTCCCCCCCCAGCAACTTTAATCGTCCCCCCCCCTTTCCCCCTGAAGATTCTCGATTTTTCCAAGGAGGAGGAAGGGAGGAAGGAGGGAGGAGGGACGGAGGAGGGAGGAGGGAGGGAGGAGGGAGGAGGGAGGAGGGAGGGAGGAGGGAGGAGGGAGGGAGGGAGGAGGGAGGAGGGAGGAGGGAGGAGGCCTCCCTCCTCTCCTCCCTCCTCCCTAGGGAGGAGGGAGGAGGGAGGGAGGGGGGAGGGGGGAGGGAGGCGAGGCAGGGCGGGAGGAGGGAGGTGGGAGGGAGGAGGGAGGAGGGAGGAGGGCTGGGGCCCGAAACTGATTTTTTAATCGTTCCCCCCTTTCTCCTTCCCTCCAGCGTTTGTTTGTTCGCTCGTCGCGTGGACACATACTGTGATGGCCACAAGAAACAATTCAAGTGATTCGCTCCCGCCCAAGTGGTGTCGCGCGTCCGTGCGGTCGCCTGCGGCGTCGTGTTATGTTGCTGCGTCGTGCCGCGTGGTGCAGTGCCGTGTCGTGCAGGATGCCCCGTGCTGTGCCGCGCCGTGTCATCATCATCATCATCATCATCATCATCATCATCATCATCATCATCAGCAGCAGCAGCAGCAGCATCATCATCATCATCATCGTCATCATCATCATCATTTCCTGCGTTTCCTGTGCGGTGTTTGAGGCTGACGGATCGCACGTCCGCGCGCGGTCGCCCGCAAGGACGCCCGCGCGCGGACGTGCGACCGATGTCGCCTCCTCTCCGTCCGCACTCTCGCCGCGGCTGTGCGGCTCGAGGAGGGAGGAAGAAAGAGGGAGGGAGGAGACAGGGAGGGAGGAGGAGGAGGGAGGGAGGGAGGAGGGAGGGAGGGAGGGATACAGAGAGGGAGGGGGAGGAGGAGGGAGGAGGAAGGAGGGAGGGGGGGAGGAGGGAGGGAGGGAGGAGGGAGGAGGGCGGAGGGAGGAGGGAGGAGACAGGAGGGAGGGAGGAGGGAGGAGGAATTGAGGGAGGAGGGAGGCCGGAGGGAGGAGGGAGGAAGGAGGAGCGGAAGGAGGAGGGAGGAGGGAAGGGCCGACCCCCCCCGCTCCGAATTGCCTGCCCTCGCCCCCCCCCTGGCCCTCCAGACGGCCCGGGGGGCAACCATGATTGTCCCCCGGAGAACTTTATTTGTTCGCCCTGGGGGGGCCCTCCGTGGGCGGCGCCCCCTCCCCCCCTTATGTGGGCCCAACCAGGCCGGCGAAACTATTTTTTTAAACGTCCGCCCTCAAATGTTTTTTTAATCATATGCCTCCATTACACTACCAGTGGCGGGCGGTTCTTCAATCCCAGGACTTTTTGAGGGTCGGGGACGACGCTGGGGTGGTGTGGTGTGCTCTTGTCGCCGTTTTCCGGGGGCAACGACGAAAAGTTGTATACACCAGGATCCCGTATACACCAGAATCCGCGTTCCCGTGCGAGTTCCGGCGCAGGGTCGGGAGAAGCGTCGGTGTATAGAGAGTTCGGTTCCCCTATCTGATTTTCCGGGGGCCGCTGCGCGCTTCCCGTGCGTCCGCAGGAGCTCCACGCCATCCTGGAGCAGTACGCAGAGCTGGGCAAGAGCGTTCGAATCTTGAATCTGGCGGACGCGACCCACCTGCCGGCACTCCTTCGTTTCGGCGCCATGCCAGCCGACTCGAGCGGCCCCAACAGCATCAGCATCATCGACGCAGGCTCGTGCGTGGGCGATGGCTGTGGGGCTGGCGGCACTGTCGTCTCTCATGCAGGCAGCAGATGTAGTGGTAGCGTCCTGTCCCGGCCGATAAATCAGGCTGGGCAGCCTGACTGACGCTACCAAGTGCCCCCAGCTGCGCCAAAAACCATAGTGTGTGTGACAGTAATCAGCTTTTGATGGTATTATAATATGTGCGGTTGAGGAAAAACTAAGCGGTAAATGGGAAAGCGAGATCCTGCTTCGCCAATCGGGGATCGCGAAGACAAAGCAAAATCAGACGTCAAGCAAAACCGAAGATACGAAAGTCACAAAACAGGGGCTCTGCGAGACTAAGGCCGAGTTTCGCGATTCCCGAGAAGCCGAAGGATCAGTACAACGAGCAAGCTGTTTAAAGCAGAAGTGCCCATTACGTGCACGAGAGTTTGTGATCATTTTGGAGAAGCTTTGGTGTGCCAGTTTCGTTCCTTCCAGTACTCCACGAGCTGTTGAGGAGGTGTCTAGCTGGAAACCCGAGGACTGTCGAGGAAGGCACTGGCCCCACGGAGGCTCATCCTGGTGCTTTCCTAGTCGAGAGCATTCCGGCGAAGACGACTGCGACGAGTCCTGGGCCCACCGAGTCGCCTCCGCACTGCACTCGGTCATTCTGCCGTTTCGGGACGCCGCCCCACAGCAGGGGCGCGCTGCGGCACCTGGCGGAGTTTCGCAGCAGCCGTCTTCTTGGGAGTCTCGAGCTCTTCTTCCTCCCCCCCCCCCTCCTCCGCCCGCTCCTCCCTCTCTCTCCCTGCGCGCAGGGGCCCCAGCACATCAGGACCGCGGCGGAGCCACCGGCCGCGGGCAGCGCTCACGACATGTTCCAGTCTGCGCCCCTCCTCCATCCTCCCCTCCCCTCCGCCTTCTCCCGCCTGCTCCCTCCCTCCTTCCTCCGCCTCCTCCTCCTCCTGCTCTGCCTCCTCTCTCCTCCCTCCTCATTCCTCCTGCTCTTCCTCCACCGCTTCCTCGTCCTTTCTGCTCCTCCTCCTCCTTCTCCATCGCTTTTGCTTCTCCTCCCTCCTCCCTCTTGTGATTCCTTCCTTCCAGGGTTACGTAGGAGGCTGGCTGGCGCATTGGATATGTGCTGTTCTGGGAACGAAGGCTTCGGCTCAAGTCGCGTTCAAGGCAGGCTTGTGCTTCAGTCGTGCCTGTCTTTGTTCCAGCTCTTGAGCTCGGCCTGCCAAATCCTCGCCTTCGCGCAGCCCGATGGAGACTCTCAGCGAGGAGCCGATGGAGACTCTCTGCTCCTCGTCCTCCTCCTCCTCCTCCCTCCTCGTCCTCGTCCTCTTCCTCCTCCTCCTCCTCCTCCTTCCCCTCTTCGTCTTCGCGCCGTGTCGACGCACCAGTGACGCCAACGCGGGCGTTCCAGGTCGAGCATCGCCGGCAGCCTGGAATTCGGCACACATCGAAGGACCTGCGGTGTTGGATAGCCGCGATCGTTCACGGTTGAACGATTCACGCGGTGTCAGGAACCACCGCGCAGGGCGTCACGATGCGAACCTGCTGTAAGGGAGCTCTCGGTGACCCAGTCTTGGAGGGAGGGAGGGTAACAGTTTTTCACCGACACCATTACACGTTTTCAGAGAGTTGTCGCGCGAATTCCGAATGGACGATCTTAAGCCGCTTTCCGACACGATGCTTGTACCTAGGAGCTCTTGCGTGTCTTCTAAGTATGTGTTCACGCTTCACGTCTCTGCGGCTTTTGGCTGCGCCCCCCCGAGCAACTGCGAAGATTTCATCGGACGCAGAAGAGCGTCCGCCCTGAGACCTGCCCAGGGTGTATCGGTCCCTCGTCGCCGACCCAGCCACGGTTCTACTACAAGGACGCCGTGGCACGTCAGCACGCCGCCAGCGAACAGTGCAGCCCTGCAGCTCGACAGCTGCCAGCCACCTGTATGCCCTGGCGGCGGAGGCATCCGGCTTCTGCACGGGCAGCGTGGAGGTGGTGAGTGGGTGTGGCTGCCATACACATGGTGATTGGCTTCGTCAAGTGAGCGGCCCCGCATCGAGTGGTTCAGCCTTCCGCGGTCCAAGTTCGTGTCGCTCTTCTCGGCGCAGCCATAGCCCCAGCCCTCGTCTGGACATTGCATCATTGTACCCCCGAACTGCGTGAGTCGGGTACGATGTAAGTGGACCAGCCACTTGCTGGTGGTCGCCAGCCTCGTGCACGCACACCAGTGGTCATCACAGCACAGTGAGCGGCATTGGTTGGTGACCGCCTTGTACCCCCGCCCTGCCCCACCCTCCCGTGGTCAAGAAGTTCTGTGCATGGATGCCCTGGATATTCTCATCTGTGTCCAGCGGCTTTTGGCTGCGCCCCCTCCTTCTATTCCTTTCTTTCACAACGTCTCTGCGGCTTTTGGCTGCGCCCCCCCCGATCAACAGCGCAGATTGCAACGGCCGCTGAAGAGCGTCCGCCCTGGGACCTGCCCAGGGAGTTCAGTGCCGACCCAGCCGTGGTTCTACTACGAGGGCGCCGTGGCAAGTCAGCGCGCCGCCAGCGATCGGTACTGCCCAGCAGCTCGGCAGCTGCCAGCCACCGGTATGCCCTGTTGTCGGTCGCATCCGTTTTCTGCATGGCCAGCGTGGCAGGCGTTGTGTGGGTATGGCGGTCCACCATACACAGGGTGATTGGCTTCGTCGCGCGAGCGACCCGGCATCGAGTGGTTCAGCCTGCTGCGGTCCAAGTTCGTTTTGCTCTTCTCGGCGCAGCCACAGCCCCAGCATTCGCCAGGACATTGCATCGTTGTGCCCCCGGACCGCGCGATTCGGATACGATGTAAGTGCACTGGCTACTGGCTGGTGGTTGCCAGCCTCGTGCACGCACACCAGTGGTCTTGGATGGAGGCACGCCGTCCCTCATTGACACTGGTGCTCAGCGGCTTTTGGCTGCGCCCCCCTCCTGCCTGAGTTTCGCCCTGGTTCGTCGCTGACCCGGTCATGGTTCTACCACAAGGACGTCTTGGCCCGCCGTCAGCACGCCGCCTACGAGCGTTACGGCCCAGCAGCCTGGTAGCCGCCAACCATCGGATCGCCACTGGCGTCGGTGTGGTCGGCTTCCGCACGGGCTGCGTGGCAGGTGTGGATTGGGTGCGGCCGTCAGCCATACATTCGGTGACACCCGATGTTTGGCTTCGTCAAGGGAGTGGCCCTGCAATGAGTGGTTCAGCCTTCTGCAGTTCGTGGTCGTTCCCCCTTGCAGAGCAGTCTGCAACCAGCCCCCGTCAGTATTGCATCGTTTTGCCCCCGAACTGCGAGAGTCGGATACGATGTGCACGCACTGGCTTCTGGCTGGAGGTGGCTCAGCCTCGTGAGCGCACACCAGTGGTCTTCTTCTACTGGATGGCGCTTCGACGCGGATCAGCTAAACCGCAGCGTCAGTGAGCCTTGATGAGTCAGGCCTCTTTCGCCGCACCATCGTTCACTCGTGGTGCTGCAGTGGGCCTGTGGTAATCGCTCGCTTTCGCTCTCTCCCCCTCCCCCCTTCCGTGGTCTTGGACGGCCCGTCCCTGTGTGCACGCTTGTAGGCTTCGCTTGGTCAATGGCCATTCGGATCTTCGTTCTGCCTGCAGCTTTTCAGTGCCTCGCCGTCCGTCCTGGCCTCGCCTCCGAATGTGGGTCGGCCGGAGCTTGGCGCCGCAAGGGCGAGTTCTCCCCCCCGTCCCGCTGCCGGTCGCCGCGCCTCTGCTTCCCCACCTGCCGGGATGTCTGGGCCGGTCACCTGCCGACGCTGTCTGCGTCTCAATGAGGGGCATTGTGTCCCTGGCATGTGCATACGCCACTGCGGCCAATTTACATCGTACCGCGCCCCGGACGTTGTGCCCGCTCCCTGTCCCTCGCCCTGGAGCCGCGAACCAAAAAAGTATCCCACCAGCTCATGCACAAACCCTGCCCTTGGGAACTGATTGGAAAAGGGACGCACAACCACATGTAGTGAAACACAGCGGGCAACCAGTTTGAACCAGGAGATCTTCGGAGCAAGGGGGTGGCCTTGGAGGGCCTCTTCGGGCCATCCTTGGGGCCCACGTATGGGGCGGGGGGATGATGCTGCTGCTGATGATGATGATGATGATGATGAGGAGGAGGAGGAGGAGGAGGAGGAGGCAGAGGAGTAAGAGGAGGGAGGAGGCTAGCAGGTGGATGATGATGAGGAGGAGGACGAGGAAGACGACGACGACGACGACCACGACGACGAGGAAAAGGAGGAAAGGGAGGAACAGGAAAAGGAAGACGATGAGGGCAAGGACGAGGACGAGGACGAGGAGGAGAAGAAGGGGGAGGAGGAGGAGGAGGAGGAGGAGGAGGACTAGGAGGACAACGAGGACGAGGACACAACCCTCAAAATCGCCCGCTGGAGCCCTCTTGGGGTTCTTTTGAGGGATCTTGGTTCCCCCTCTGGGGCCGTCGAAATCGCTCCTGAGGGCAATTGGGCGAGCTTGGGGCGCTCTCGGGGCCGTCTTGGGGGGGCCTTGGGCGCCATCTTGAGGCCTCAAGAGCACATCGGAAGCGAAAGGGCGATCAGGCAAATCCGTTGATTGCCATCAAGTGTTTTAAACAAGGATTCTGGCCTCTTGGGAGGATCCTCATGGGGCTCCGACAGCACTTGGAACCGTCTTGTGGCCATCATTGGGCCTCTTAGAGGCATGTTGGAAGCTACCCTGAACCGTCGCCGGCTATCTTTAGCCATCTTGGAGACCATCTTGGAGCACTGGAGGCCGTCTTGGAGCCATCTGCGGCCCTCTGGGGGGGCGCCCTAACTCATCGCGGCGACCTCCCCGAATCACCTCGGGGAGGGTAAGGGAAGAGCACCCCTCCCCAAAGGGAAGAGGGTTTTGGAAGAGAAAAGAACGATGCCGTTAGACCACTTTCGCCCAAAGGGCTCGTGGGATTTAACCTGTTTGCGGGGGTTTTGCCCAGTGGGCGTCGTCCGTGGGTGCCTCGCGGGCGCTCCGTGCGTGGTGGCTGGTTGTTGGGTTTTCGACTGGTGGGAGACAGTGGGCGCCTCGCGGGCGCCCCATGCCTGCTGGCTGGTTGTCGGGTTCTGGCCCTCGTCGCCGCCCCATTTCGCTCACACCATGCGTCTAGCGTACACCGCACTGCTGTCACCACCGAGCTCACACCAGATAGCCTACACGACGTAGCTTGCACCACGCGGCTTGCACCACACGGCTGACACCACACAGCTTACCTCACACAGCTTGTGCCGCATACCGTGCGCCACATAGTCGACTCCGCGTATCTTGCACCACTTAGCGCGCATGCGTGTTTGCACCAAAGAGCTGACACCACACAGCTTACACCATACAGCTGGTACCACGTACCTTGCGCCACACAGCCTTCACCGCATAGCTTACCACGTAGCTTGCACCGCACAGCTTGCACATCCACAGTGCAATGGATGATTGTTTGGGGTCCACGCTGGCAAGCATTGTTACACTTATGCTGTGTGTACCTTCAGTTTGGTCTGCGCATTGGCTTGCTTGCTGTTGGTTCGATTGGTTGGTTGATCGGGAGATTCGCGAATTATGGGTTGGCTGATTGGCTGAGTGGCTGTTCAGCGTGTTGGTGGGCTGCTTGGTTCGTTGGTCGGTTTGTGGCTGACTGGCTGACTGGCTGGCCAGTTTGAGGGCGTGCTAGTTGGTTGGTTTGCCAGTTGGGTGAATGATTGGTTGGACGGCTGGTTTCTTCGTTGCTTCGTGGGTTCTTTTGTCTGTGGTGGGCGGGTGGGTCGGGGAGGGCGGAAACAGGCGGGCGGGTGCCCGAACGGGCTGGCGGGACACTGCGGCAGGTTCCGAACGGGAGGGCGCGCCGCGGGCGGAATCTAGCGGGAACGGGCGGGCGGGTGGACTCATGCGGACGTCGGCGGGCGGGCAGGACATCCAGGCAGGCGGGCGGGGCTTCAGGCAGCCAAGCGGGCGGGCTCTCGCGAGCGGGAGGCGAGGTCGGGGCGGGCGGAGCCCGCCGGGCGGGGTCGGGTCGGGTCGAGTCGGGCGGCCCGTTCAGGGCGGGTGGGACACCGAGGCGGCTGGGCGGCTCTGCAGGCAAGCAAGCGGACGGGCCTTTGCGGGCGGGCGGATGGGGCAAGCGGGCCTTCCACGGGCGGGAGGGATGCTGAGGCGGGCTGGCGGGCTTTCAGGCAGCCGGGCGGGCGGGCCGGATCTTGCGGAGCCCAACGGGCAGGCGGGCGTGTCGAGTTCGGCGGGTCGCTTCGGGCGGGGGGGCACTCGGGCGGTCGAGCGGGTTTTTAGGCAGGCGATCGGGCGGATCCTTACGGAAGAGCGCGTGCAAGCGGGCGAAGCGGGCAGACCCTCACGGGTGTGCGGGAGTGTTGGGTCGGGAGGATCCTAGCGGGTGGGCGGATCGGGGCGGGGGACCTTGAACGGGCGGGCGGGGTCATGAGCTGGCGGGCTTCCAGGCAAGCGTCTGGATCCTGATAGGCGGGCGGCGGGCAGGTCGGGTCGGGCGGGTCCGTTTTGGCAGGCAGGGTACGAATGCGGGCTGGCGGGCGAGGTTTCAGCGAAGCAACTGCGGGCCGACCCTCTCGGGTGGAGTGGGCGGGTCGGGTCGGGTGACAGGCGTGCAGGACGGGTGGATTTTATGTCTATCGCGCGGGCGGGCCCCAGCTGCGCATCGCGGCACGTGGACCCAGTGGGGCGGACTGAAGTATGCAGGGCGAGAGCGGGACTGGGTATTCTGGCTGGGTGGGGTGCGGCGGGGCTACGAACACAATTACTTCATTTCCACATGAATCGCACGTGACAGCATTTCCTCTTTCTTAGATCTTCTTGCCGGGTTGCAGAATTCTCTTGCTCCACCCCCCTCTTGGAGGATATCGGAGCTTGTCATGCAACGACGCCGCCTGGACTCGCACTCGCGAACCCCTTGAGCATCGGGAGCATCGGCCATCCGACGTTCTGCCACTCATTATGTAAGCATGCCCAGGATGGTGAATGCTGCCCACACGGTGCTTCGTGCACGTGGTGCCATCATCCCCGCTGCACGCGAAGAAGGTGCCTGTGCAAGAAGAGCAGGACATCTTTGAGCCTACTGGATGACATCAGCAAGATTGGCATCGTGTGGGGCGTCCTGGGGGCGAAGGTCGGGGAGCTCGGCCTCGGCCAGGAGGCGGCGCAGGCTCTGGAGAAGTGGCGCTGTGACGTCATGAGCATGCCGCAGGTCAGACGGGCTACGCTTGGGGGAGCTGTGGCTCCTGCCCGGCCGAGGGACCCCTCGGCATTGACACCCCTCACGGGAGAGTGTCCTTACGTTCGGTTTCCCCATGGGGCTCGGAGGGCGCCAAAGCATGCACCTGCGCCGATCCTGGCCAGCCGGATCCTGGGCTCGGGAACGGGGTAAGTGCCTTCCTGGCCAGGCCAGGAGGGGCGTGTGAACCGACCATGGGCCCAGAGTCTGGCGTGAAGTTGGCGCCCTCCTTGCAGGGGGGTGCGGCTCACAGCTCCCCCAGCCTGTGGCTGGTCGGGCAGGTTGCAGGACGCCCTCTGAGCGTGCAGCGGCTCCAACCGGCTCTTTCGAAAGAGCTGCACGCCCTGAGGATTACCGATCTGTGCGTTCGGCCCATTCTGCCGGATGGTGTCGTGGAGCGCACAGGTCGTCTGCTGGTGGAGCTGAGGACCATCGCGTCTGTGGCGTGCAGTGCGAAGACGATCATGCCGCCACCGGGCCTCGAGACCTGCGGGCCGAAGACGCTGGAGCCCGCGGGGCTCGCTCGCGACGAGACGTGCGAGTTTTCGGCCATCGATCTGTGATCGCCCGCTGCAGCGGGGCGAATGGCACGCGCGGTGGAGGAGGGGGGTGCAGCCACTGCCCAGAGGGCATGACTCTGGGGAGAAGGGGACACGGGATCGGTCGGGCAGCGGTGGCGCGCATCCTTCGCAGGCGCGGGGCCTCCGCGCCCCGCGCCGCGAGCTCGGGCGGCGCGCTCGGGTGTGTCGGTGGCCGATGGCTGCAGGGTGCGTCTGGCCCCTGCTGTCCGAGCAGTGCTCGCACGCGACGGCCTCCGAGGGGCAGCGCTCGCACGCAGGAGGAGGAGGAGGAGGAGGAGGAGGAGGAGGAGGAGGAGGAGGAGGTGGAGGAGGTGGAGGAGGAGGAGGAGGAGGACGAGGAGGAGGAGGGGGAGGGGGAGGGGAGGAGGAGGAGGAGGAGGAAGGAGGAGGAGGAGGAGGAGGAGGAGGGGGAGGGGAGGAGGAGGGGAGGAGGAGGAGGAGGAGGAGGAGGAGGAGGAGGAGGAGGAGGAGGAGGAGGAGGAGGAGGAGGAGGAGGAGGAGGAGGAGGAGGAGGAGGAGCAGTAGGAGGAGGAGCAGTGCTCGCACGCACGCAGGGGTCCCAGCGACAGGTCGGGGGCGGTCGAAGGTGGGGCCGCAACGGGAAGCCGGCGGCAGCGATCTGGCCAGCACCAGGCCGCCATGAAGCCAGCGGGTCCTGGGGAAACGGGTCCTGGAGGTTCCCTCAATTCTAACGTCGCCACAAGGTTGCAACATCGCAACGGATCATCGCTGGAGCCCCAGACCCCATCCTTCCGCGTCATTTTCCCAGCCCGATCGACCTGTGAGGGTCCCGGGGCAAGAACTCGAGCGAAAGCGCCCGTTGTGAAAGAAATGCAACGCCAGGATCTCAGGGTTTCTGCTGTTTTTGGTCTCTGGGGGCCCGGCGACCGTAATTACCGTGAACAGCGTTGCTCAGGACGAAAGGCTGGCCCTCAGGGGGAAGCCCCGGGGTCGGTTTTGCTCCAGGCAGGAGGGAAGCATAGGCACAGGCACACAGAAACGTAGATTTCCAGGAAAAGACAGAGACACGATGGCCACGAGGGGGAACAAGAAAATCCCAAGTATATGAAAAAGTAGGGGGACCTGGAATTTGTGTAAACCTTTGTGCCTCCCCGTGCCCCTGCTGTTGCAGGGCTTGCGGGCTGGCGAGATGAGTCGGCGGCAGCAATGGGGGCAGCCACGGGGTGGGGACGGATCCGCGAAGGAAGTCCGCAGCGGAATGCAGCACCAGCGCGTGGGCCCCAAACATACCATTAGCGCAACAAGTGTGGAACACCATCTGCGGAGAACCTTTTTTGAGTGTGTGTGTGTGTGTGTGTTTGTGTGTATTGATCCTCCTTCACGCCACCCTCCGCTGCATTGACAGTGTGCACGGTTTGTACACATGCGCCTTCGACAACGGTCGATCACACTCCGCACTTCCATCTGCTTCTCGCGCCGGAGGGTCCTCTGCGCCGCCAGCTTACAAGTGTGTGTGTGTGTGTGTGTGTGTTTGTGTGTTGTGGAAGCAGGTGTCTCTGGATGCTCGGTCTCCGCAGGAGGCCATAGGAGGCGGAACCAGAGGAGGCCGCACAGGAGGCCAGACACCCACGCTCCGACACACACCGGGAGGCCATGGAAGTGCAAGAGCCCACGGCCCGAACCCAGTGGCAAGCCCCGTGGGACGGACAGCCATCGGGAAATCCAAGGGAAGCCGCAGGAGGTCCAGCCATTTGAGACCAAGCACCCGCGGCCCGATGATGGCAGGCATGCCCAGTGGGGCTGGAAACCGCAGGGGAGCCCTGAGGAAACCGTAGGAGGGCAAATTGCGTGAGTGCACAGGGGGCCAAACACCCAAGGCCGACCTTAGACGAGACAGGGCCAGTTCTTGTGCAGCACAAGTAGAGGCCCCTCATGGCAACTACTGCTCGGGGAATGTGGATGTACAGACAGAGAACACAGATGAACAGACAGGCACAGACATAGGCATGCTCACGCACGCATGCATTTACGTACATCCTGCTAGGTATGTAGGTGTGTGTATATCTGTATATATATATATATATAGACATTTTTTTTTGTGTGATTGTAGACACACGTTCACGTTTCTTTTTGTGTTCATGCGGTACATACTTGGGTGTACACACTGACATCTCGATGCGTGCATACTATATATACATATGTATGTATATATATACATACATACATATATATATATATATATATATGTATACGTCCACACATCACACCTATTTATGAATGCATTAGTATACACATAGGAATACGCATACAACACGCTATTTATGTATGCGTTACCATCACACATCTTTATGTGTGCATTATACACACACAACTCTTTACGCATATGACTATACACGCATACACATACATGTTTATATAGACGCAACCACATGTAGGTAGAGCGTGACCTATATCAACATATAATTAGCACGATGAATATAGCTATGCACATACATATCGATACATACGTATGTACATATGCATACACCATCTATGTATAAACATGTATGCATACACATATATACATCTTGTTTTAACGATATCTATGTTTACTTATGTGTACACATATATATAGATATATCGCGAGACAGGGGGGACTACAGACAACAACACAAAACACATACAGAGAGACAGAGAGAACGCGATAACGACAGTGGCGCAGTCCCGAGTCGGACTCTCAGGCACTATCCCGCGAGGATGACTCGGGCTCACGGTATTCGATTTAGGGCCTGGATCTGGCAGAGCACGGCTCGCACAGGCCCGACCCCTCAGCGCCCTCACCTCAGCGGGCGCTGGATCCCTGGTGGAGCACGGCTCACCCTGGCTCGTACCTAGCCGTACCTAGCGCCCTGGAGATCTCAGGGTCTTCGGGGACTCAGGGCGAGTCACAGTTGTCTCACCCGCTGCTCGGCGCGGGGCTACCCTTGCTACGGTGGCACGTGCCCCCCCCCTCCTCCCGTGGACTGGGGCCAGCCGTCTGGCGGAACGGAGCGCGAGTCGAGAGGCGAGTCGAGGCACAGCGGCAGGTCTTGCATGGTCGGCGCCCTGGGGCGAGTTGTGGCCATAGTTTCGAGGCGTATCCAGCCTTGGCCACGATGGTGCTCCAGGAGAGGCCTCGAAACGTGAAGCGCGGAGGTTTTTTTGCCGCTTTCGCATCGCAAACCCCTGCTGCAAGTCTGGGACTGCGGCAGATTCGCGCCACGTCGACGCGGCGACGCAGGCACGGGCGCTCACGGTCCAAGGCCCTTGGCCAGTTTTGAACGATCGTCGTTGTCAGACAGCGGCGATCGCTCCAGAATTGCACGATTTGCGTGTTGTCGGAAACCAACGGCCACGTCGACACGGCAGGATCTGGCCGCATGCGCGTACACCGACCCCAGCCCGACCAGACCCATGCCCAGCGTCAGTGGGCTCTCCTTCCCAGCTTCGCCGCGAAGGTGTATGCACGTATCCCGCGCACAGGTTGGCGGCGCGCACACTGGGGGTGGCACGAAGGGGGCGGCATTCTGAGAAGGCGGGTTGCTTCTTCCAAGGGCCTGGAGGCCTCGAACACGGCTTCTTTGAAGTTTGGAGGCCAGACTCCCCC